TCCGGAGCACCTCTCCATGTCAGGACTGGCCCTCTGGCACTTAGCACATCTGCTTACCTAAGAACTCTGCCACTCCTCTAAGGTCGTGTTTCTTAAACCTTTTGGACTGACAGTCACAGCAGGAAATACATTTTACTTCACAATCCATATTTGTCAGGGTCCCCCAGTCAGGAAAAAAGAAACCAGAGTATTTCAACAGAAAGAATTTAGCACAGGGAACTGATTTACAGATGTTGGAGGACTGAAAAAATTAAGAAAGGAACATAGAATAACACATGAGTAATAATGCCAGAAGCAGCTACCACCTCGGGGGCTGGAGATCAAAGTGAGGAGAGGCCGGGCTTGTCAGAACCCAGCACCTTAGAGGAGAGGTGCCATGGAGCAGGACCCAGATTCGGAAGAGGGGGCTGCCTGGCTGATGCTGCTAAGACTGGGGTCGAAGGAGAAGAGGCTTGAGGAGGCTGATTCTGGAAGTGCAGTAAGAAGCTGGAGACAGGAAATGCTGGTACCAGGCAAAAAGGCCACTGCTGGGGTGATGCTGACAGGCACAGCAAGCCAACAGGAAGCAACCTCGTGAGCAAGTGGCTTCCCCTCTTTTAGCCTGTGCTCTTCCTCTAGTGCATCCGGGAGCCAGATGACAAAGGGGAAACGTGTTTGCTTATTCCAGCTCCATGCACACAAAGCAGTAGATGGAGGGTACGCTGAAGCTGAAAGCGCAATAACTGCCATACACTTCCGCAGACTATGAGCATGCGCTCTACATGTAGATTTCTATTGCCTCTATTCTGTTTCACCTTACCCTACTCTACCTTACCCTAACACATTTTAAATATTAAACAGCTGGATGGAACCCATCAAATTGATTTCATGACCTACTAAACTCTGTTCTAGGACATCTTCAAGGGTAGTGGTGACTTTGAGCACTGGAATTCAGTATCACTCACCTCCTGATCTCCCTCCATATCAAGAATGGCTTAAAAGAATTGCCTCCCAATGTACCCAGCCACTGAATACATATTGGGACCGACACTTTTCCATAGGTTTCAGGGATATTTATAATAAGAGGCTGCAAATGTCCTGTATAGTACTCGAAGGGGAGAGCTACCAGAGAGGAGGTTTTACCAAGGACAATCAAAAATATTTCTTGTATCATTATTATATAAAAGGTATTACAGAGATATTTTGGGGAGTATCCAGAAATGTACATCATAGGAGTCTGAAATCTAATGAGAAGAAAAAACAAAAGCCAATGAGTAAACAATACACAAGTGGCCACTAGGCAGTATGGTTAGTTGTCAAGTAGGTGATATATGCAGGAAATATTGTGAGCACAGAGCAGGGTGATATACTGCGAGCAGGAATGACCTAGAAAGGCTTCACGTAAAGGCCTGAGTTAGTGTTTGTAGAATAGGTAGAATTTACAGCAGGGGGATAGCATTCTAGGTGAAGAGCACATTAGGAGCGATAGAGCAAGGGAAGGGAGCACACAGCATGCTTGGGGAAGTACTGGAACCTGGGGATCAGAACTAGCCTGGGGAATCTGAGCATCGCCATCACTGAGAGACGAAAGCTTCGAAATGGAGAGGGTGTGTCGACTGAATGTTGGGAACTACTCCCACATTTAAGGAGTAGGTAGAGGAGCTGGTGAATAACACAATGACGTGTGCTTTGAAGAGAACCAAGGGCACGGACCACTAGGGAGGGTGGCCTGCAAAGTCCAATGCTACAGAGGCCAAGAAGACTGAGAACCGAGGAAAAACTTCTGGATTTGAACCAGACGCACTAGGTCTCTTTAACAGGACAGTGGCTCTTAACCATATTGTGCATTGGTGTAGATCAATCTGTTATTACTTTCAGCTCCATCTTTTGAATTTACACAGTGTGTTTAACTATCGCTTGAACTGGTCCAAAGTATGTAGTGAAAACAATAAACTAAAGTTTATTGTCGGTCCTCATGGTGTCCCAGCTGTCCACAGCCATGCTAGCTTTTCAAGGCTGTGCTTCAGTGGCTCAGTCTTCCTTCGCGTGACTGCCCTCCTTCAGCTTACTGCAGAGCAGCTGTTTCCTTTCACTGCTGTCATCCATTCTCCTCAAGTAGCTTGTCCTGCTCAGCGGATGCTATGGGATCCTGACTTCAAAAAACAAGGAGGGTTATGCATTGGGTCTTGCTTTTGGAGACTTCCTCATGGCTGGAGGCTGCACTACAACCCAGCTGCTGGGCAAATGCAAGCGACTGGTAACAAGGAAACCAGATGAGGGATAGATGGATCAGGTGAAACGCTCATTCCCTACTACAAAAACATGTGTTCAGCTGATAGCGTATCAGTGTCATCTTCTCCAGGAGTAAAGGAGAATCTATTTATATGCTCATTATACATGCAGAGTTGTGACCAAATTGCTAGAGGTGACAGATCTAGGTGTTGCTTCTATAAGGATGTCATTATTGCTTAATACTCAGATTTCGTTCTGGATTTTATTGCTTGAATGTTGTCATTTCTTCCGTGCAATATAAACTATGATCATGGAGACTTTGGTTTCTTTTCTTTCTCAGACATCAGATTCCAGCTACTATCAACTGCTTCCTCATTTACACTAAATAGTTTTCGTAATTGAACCCACTATGTAGGTAGCCTGGACAGGTCATGTGTGTAAGCTGTATAATATTTATTGAATAACTACACTGTAGGCTGAATCAAACAGAATATGCAGATATATACTGGGGCGAAGAACTATTATTTTAATAACTGGCACTACAGTTCCTCCTGGGGAACTTACTTTCTTTGTGTAGGAAAATACTTAGAGAAACAGCTTAGGAAGGGAAGGGAGCCCTGAAGGTATTGATTAGGAGACAGAGATAACTCAAAGTACTATTCAAAGAGAGAAAAGAGGAGGAGAGGGAGGGGATCAGAGAGATGGTGGATAGAGGGAAGTTGCAGTCTATGCTGAAAGAGGATGGGGGTCAGAGAATCCCAATACTGTGGGGATACTGAAGGATTTTTAAGAGCAGGAAATTCTAATTTTAGTTTATTTGCATCCTTCATTTAAAATCCCTCAGCTGCTCCAAACCTTCAGAAGAGTCTGCTTTACAAACAACCAGCGAAAAGGGCTTGATTTCCACATTAGTTGTCAGTAGGAGTAGAGAGAAAAAGAGTTGCAGGAGGTGAGATGTGAGGAAATCTAAGTGTTCAGAGAAAGCAAGAGCTCAGAGCCAAAAGTGACCCTGAGATGGTAAGCCCTCACGGAATGTGCAGTCTTGGAGAGGACACTGGCCTTTCCACAGGAGGTGCAAAGGGGACTTGAGTCAATTTCAACAAAAATCTCTGTGGACAAGGTGACCCCAACTGAGAACTGGATGACATACACAGTAGCTTGCTATTTTCAATCATAATTTCTCAAGAGATATTTATTACTAGAGAACGACAGGGTCAGACCCCTCCCACCCCCGATTTACTTAAATCTCTAGGCCTCATTTTCATCATCTGCAAAATCTGGGTACCGGACCTAGAACATCTCCATGGTCTGTATTAGCGTCTCTAGCTCTAATAATAACTAATATTTTTGTTCTTTTTGAGGTGAATTTACATGGTGAAGTGTACAAATCTTAAGTGTACCATTTCACGAGTTTTGACAAAAGCACATACCTCTGTAAACCAAACCCTCAGCAAGATCACGACAGAAAATACCCCTTTCCCTCAAACCCCACCCTCAACTCCAGGCTTCTCTCTTCTCTTATCCCAGTGGATTAAATAACCACTATTTAAAAGTTACTGTTAAATGCGAGGCTTTGTTTTATAACGCTTCATCAGTATCAATACTTTTATTTTTCACAAGCACGTTGAGATAGATACTATCTTCATTTTGCAGATTAAAACGTTGAGCATCAGAGCGGGCAAGCTGTCCCCGGTTATCAGCTACGAGCGTAGCAGCAGGACGTGACCTGAGCAACGGGTGAGAAGCCCGTGCTCTCAACCCCAGTTTACACCATACTGCATCTCTGAGGCGGGTCAGAGAGAGCCACACACGATTTCCTAAGGAAGATTACAGGTCAAAATGCAATTTAAATCAATGCCACTTACAAGTTCTCAAAATCCTAAAGGCCATATGCGTTACGTGTTGCTAAATGATTCCTTTCTGTCCCACTTCTCAGAAAATGGCAGAAAGAAGGGGTGAAAGACTGCAAATTCGACTTTACTGATGAGAAGCCTCAAGAGAGGTGGTTTAGGGTCCAAACGCGCCATGCGGCAGAGCCCAGGAGAAAGCCCGGATGGGCGCGGAGGAGGGCTGGACCAGACGCTCTTCACCGAGCCGGGCGCGGAGACGCCCTGCTGTTCCTTCCTCTGACGCCACCAGCATCCTCCGAGAACAGCGCGGGCAGCAGCGCGCTCCGCGAGGACAGACACGCGTCCTGCCACGGGGACGAGGCGCTGCCGCGGCAGGCAGAACCAGCGCTCAATCAGTCACGGCCCTCCTCAATGTCACCGGCTGCCTCCTCTCCCAGACCCACCCTCGCGCCCCGCTTCGCCCGCACCGGGGCGGGGTTCCCAGGCTCCTCCCGCCAGCTGACTGGAGCACCCGCCCTCCCCCCTACCGCGCGGCCCACGGCTGCCATGGCAACCGTACGCCGCCGCCGCCGCCACCGCCTCTTCACGCACGTCGCGAACTAACGGACTCCGGGGCGGCGGCGGCGGCCTGTGCCCCACCCCCACCCGACCTGGCCCGCATCACCTGCGGTCGGCCGACCTGCAGCACCTAGGTAAAGACTCCTAGGTAGACGGGCGCGAGCAGGACAGCAGGTGGTGGGGTGCCGGCCAACCCCCTCCACGGTTGACAGTCCCACCCCGTCTCCTGCCGCGGGAGACAGCAGGACAGGGCGCGGCGCGGGTTCTCCGGCGCGGGCCGCGGTGCGGGAGGGGGAGAGCAGAGGACGCGCGAGCCTCGCGGGGCATTATGGGGATTGTAGTTCAGCGGCTCCTCGGCCTCGCGGCCTTGGCGGGGTGGCCTGGACGGGCGAACTACAAAGCCCGGCGGCCCCGACAGCTGGGAAAGACCGATAAACTTTGAGCCGACCAGGAGAGAGAAAATCTCTCTTTGTGGTGAGGGGCCTCTTGGGTGGTCGCGGAATTGGGCTCTGTGCGCTGGGAAGGGGAAGTGGAGGTGAGACGTGTGCTTCCCGCCCTGCCATTTGGCCGGCCCGGGCTACAGCGCTCAGCCCCACCCCGGCTGGGCCGCCGCCCGCCTAGTCTCAGGGATGAGCAGCCGCCCAGGCTGCAGGGCCTCGGGCCTTCGGCGCCTCTCACCCTCCCAGGTTGCTGCCGCTCGGTGCAGAACCGTATGTATGTCACACATGTGATGGGAGACCCGAGAAACTGTTTTAACAGGCTTTTCTCCTTTCCCGGATACATTTATTTCTAGGTATTTAATGCTTATTCTGAAGTAGCTCAGAGGTTTTGCATATTAAACCCATTAATAATTAATTAATTCAAAGGGTATTAATGTTGAAAGGTTAAGTGTAGAAGTAAAACAAAGATACCATGCTATTATATAGTATTTGGTATTCTTACCGTTTTGCGTGTTGCATTTTATTTAATGAGGATCAGAATTGCAAAATGAGTACCTCCCACCTCGACCTACTAGCTTGAACATTGCCAGTACATCCTTTGATTCTATTTTGAAGATTAGTTCAACTTTAGATTACTAGTAATTTTTAAAGCACAGAGTTGTCCTTTTTTTTTCTTTTCTTTTTTTTTTTTAGCAGTGGGTAGTAATAATTATTTTCTTTGATTATTCCAGTGTTTTAAAGAATTTATCAGGAGCGTGTTTTCGGAGTGAAAAAGCGCTATGTTCTAATTGCTTTTTTAATGCTCTGGAATAAGAGCATTAAAAAAAAACAATCATAGTCCCTATAGTTGGCTCAGGCCCTGGTGATAAGGAAGCTGACACAGATTTAGAAAACCTGCCTGACTACCCTATAAAATGTTTCCAATAGGCAGATAACCATTCTAGAAATTTGGTATTTTATGTAGTATATTGGAAAGTTGTTGACAGTATTGTGGGCTTATTTTGTGTTTGTGTGTTTTTAAACAAAAAAACAACATAAAGCCCTGTAGAACTCCTTTTTCCTCAAAATCAAGCTGGCCTCTGTAAATTTTGCCTAAAGTAGCCATTTTGTACAGGAGATGGGAAGTAGTTTAGTAAGACCATTAGAAAAAAAAAATTTGAGGCCTTGTATAGTACAGGGATTTGAAGTGTTTATTCATTCAAGATTTGTTAAGCACCTATTATGTGCCAGGCATTATGCCAGGTGTTGGGAATAAAGAGAAGAAAGAATATAGTCTGTCCGACATGCACAAACAGTCCTATCATTGCAATAATGTGATTGAGAGAGGTGCAAGTTACTATATGAGCCCAGAGTGGGAATAAACAACAGTGACATTTATTGAATCCTTACCATGTTTGAGGCACTGTGCAGCGTATTTATCATGCATCCCCTTGTTTGATCCTCACAATCCTGTGAAGCAGCTACTGTTATTTAGAGAGGAGGAAACAGGCTTTGAGACCTTGCCTGAGAGTCATAGCTGATAAGGCGTGAACCTGGGATTTCAACCCAGATGGGTCCAGGTCATCTAAGTCATGATCTCAACCACTGATGCCATTCTCTGTACCCTTTGGTGAAAAGATCCTGACTGTCTAAGGAGATCAGGGGAAGTCTCGGGTATGATGTGACGTTTGACTTGTGCTAAGAAAGTTGAGTAAGCTTTCACTGGAGAGAAAATGAGGAAGGTCATTCTAGGCAACTGGCAGAACAGAAGCAAATGATGGATGTAGGTGTTTTGTGTTTGGAAAACCCTAGGTTGTTCTGATGACTGAATCCCAGAATACTTGCAGTGTAGTGCAGAAATGCAGTGTAGTGGGAGAGGCCAGATCTTAAAGTACTTGGTACCACGATAAAGAGTTTAGAATTTTTCTTCAACGGGGCTACCATCGAAGAATTTCAAATGGAGTATTGGCGTTATTGGGTTTGTATTTTGTAAAGATAACTCCAGCTCCAGTGTGGAGAATGGACCTAGGAGAGGAGAGATTAGAGTGGTTTTAAGAGAAACCAGTTTTAGAAAAAAAAAAAGTCCAGTAGAGAAATGGAGACAGTCTGAACTAAGCAGTCGGAGTTGTAGAAAGAGATGCATTGTAAAAATATTTGAGAGGTAAAATTGATATGACTTAATAAGAGTTTGAATGTTGGGGGCTGGAAAGATTTGGAATCCTGAGACAAATGATTCCTAGTTTTCTGGCTAGGATCACTGACAGGATAGTGAAACCATTGACTGAGGTGAGCAGGTTTTTGTTGGAGCGAAAGATAGACATAGATCAGCTCAGTTTTGAGTATTTGTTCATGGTTCCTGTGGGATATTCAGGTAAGGATGCGTTGGCTTCTGGAGTTCAGGAGAAAGTTCAGCACTGGAGGTAGAGGTTTGCATGTAGGTAAGTAGCTGCAGTTATAGGAGAGAATGGACCAGCTCACATAGGAGGAATGTGTAGAAATGAAACAGGAAGAATTTTGAATATGGAACTCTTGGGAAGCAGCATTTATGGAGTGTGTGTGTTTGGGGGGGTGTGTTTGAGAGAAAGTGGGAGAAAAGCCCACAGATGAGACCCAGAGGTTAGGAGGCAGAGAGGAAGGAGAGGACCCCGAGAGAGCATGCATGACAAGTGACAAAGGAGGGGAAAGTAAGAAACAGGAGTGGTCCAGAGTGTCAGGTGCCTCAGAGAGGGCGAGTAAGGTAAAGGTTGAAAAGTGTCCAGTGGATTTGGTGGCTGCGAATCATTTCTAAACTCTGCACAAATGAAGAAGAGGAATCTGACCATAGGCTACTTGAAAAAAAGTGTACATTTTTCCATAATAATACATGTACCAAAGAAAACAGAATAATGAGCCCCCATGTAGCCATCACCTAGTTTGAAGAATGAACACGTGACCAATTTTGTTTCATCTCTAACTTGTGCCCCTCAACTGGATTGTTTAAATCTAAACTCAGATATCATATCTTTTATATCTGTACTTCAATATCTATCTTTAAAAGTTAAGGATCCTTTTAAAAAATATAACTGTAATATTATGCTACTGAAAAAAATTGATACTACTTCCTTAATATAAAATTTCCAGTCACTTCTATTTAAAGAAGCTTGATTATGAAGAAAATAAAGAGATGAGGCAGTAACGAAAATAGGTTTGTAGGTTTGTTTTTTTTAGTTTTTTTTTTTTAGATTGATAACAAGCTATTAGGGAGAGAGCCAATAAAGAGGAACTGTTTGAAGATGTAGGAGATGGAGAGAGAGGAGAGAATTTACAGAGGTCCTTGAAAATGTAGGAAAGGATGGGATGAGCAGGGTGAAAGAAGTAGTCTAGAATTAATTTGTTACATTTTATAAGCATCACCTAAGTGCTAGCTGTGTGCCTAGGCAGTGTGCTAGTGTTGATAGGTGAAGAGAGAACACTGAAAAAGGAAGAAAGGAAGTGAGAATAGACACTTATAAGTTGGGTGGTAAAAGGTGAGAGAGTTCAACGCTATGGCCTCTAAGAGGTAGATAGGAATAAAAGTCAACTCATGAGAGAAGAGATTGGGGTTGGGAAAGGAGAGTGGTAGAAAGGAAACTGAGCTAGAACAAGAAAGAATTGTTTCACTGAGCCAAGATTAGAATTCAGTAATTTTCAATGACGGTAAAACAAGAGGTTGTGAGATTTTTTTCCCCCTTAAATTTCGATTGATTTACTAAGGAAGAGCTTAAAATATTGAGGAAACTAAAAGCCTAAGGTGTTACTGAAGAGACGGGGATCCAGGCCAAGACCTTATGATTACACCATTCCTCAACAACTTTAAATTTATTCATTTAACTGATAATTATTGTCTCTTTTGTGTAAATATCACAGTAAAACTAGAAAGGCCCTTACAGATATTTTGGATCAATACTTTATTTTTTCAACATGTACAGTGGTATTCTTTTATAGAGAACATCTCTCCAAAGATCGTTTGCTGAATGTGATATAGTGGAAGGGGTCAGATAGATCTGCGGTCCAATTCTAGAACTACAGCTTATTTTCTATGTGATGATGGGCAAGTTTACAAACCTGTACCCTTACTCAAAAAGATGTTAATGCTATCTATTTTATAGGATTGTTGGGAAGATTAGACAGTTTGATGGAGGTAAATCCTAAGTGCTCAATAACTGAAGGCCTTTCTCTTCCCCTTCTCCATCCTTACCGACAATGTGACAGGATTGTCAGTCTGTTTGACAGAAGACCATGTTCTGTGACTTTACCTGACCATATTAAGCAGGTAGATTAGGTAGTAGTTACATTACAAAATGATGATTTGATCTGTAAAAGGATTCATCAATTATTCTTTTAAATGAGGTGTCAAATGCTATAAAATGTTATTATATAGACTATTAATAGTAACAACATCTTTGCCTCGGTTTCATCTTCAAAGACACAGAAAGTTCCACTACATGATTTGAGATCCCAGTAGCTGTAGAATTCTTCTATTCTCTGACTATATCTCATTTCTAGACTAATTTATATTATGATTTCACTAATATTTAAGCATCTGTTTATAAGTGAAAATATGTGTATATTTTAATGTACTCAGCATTATTTTAAACATTTTCTCTCCTAGATAACTATACTTATGTATGGTAGACCTAGTGAAAGTGTACCTTAGAATGCCCAGTGAAAGTCTGGTACATACAGGCATTTGCTAGGTGAGTTTAAGGCATAGATTGTGAGAGGAGTTAACAAATGGAGTCATTTTCCAAGGCTGGTTGTTTAATCTCCACTAGATGTCTTTGAATCTGTTCCCTTTGCTAGGGAAGGCTTGATTGTGGTCCTCTGTGAAGGTATGGAGATGACATGAGCGACCTTTTAAGTCTCTTCCTAACTTTGTAATTCTAAATTAGTAACTGTCTATTCGTAATTGTTGATCAAAAACTCCTATTAAGCAACCTATTACAAAGTGAGCTTAATTTCAAATTTTTGTTCTTTCTAATATTCTTTTGATATGAAGTTTTTTTTATAAACACTTTTATAGTTTATAAGCATGTCTGTATTGTTTTGTGTTTTGTGCTTAGGTACTGACCACTAATCGCATTTACTTCCCAAGCTA